AATGAAAAATATATATTTACTGAAATATTTAAAAAAAAACCCACCTAAAATATAGACTAGATGTGGTCAAAGAGTGAATTTATGAATGCAAATTACTTGTGAGACCCTTACTCAGAATCAGGACAGTAAGACAACACAATAGCAAGTTAAAAAAAAATCAGTTAAGAACCACGGAAGACAGATTGAGAAAATACAATATTCATTTAATAGGAATTCTCGAAGAAAACAATCAAAGGAAAAGGGAAAAAAGCACTATTTGAAGAGAAAATTTGCTGATAACTTCTAAGCACAAAAGAAAGACATACATTCTTGAATGGAAATTATTATCAGAGTATCAAGCAGGAAAAATAAAACTAACTTTACATCTAGATATAGCAAAATGAAAAGCAGAACAATCTTGGTTCAAAGACAATCTTGAAACATAACAGAGAAAAAATAGGTTATTAAAAACAAATGGTGACAGATTTCTCATCAGCAATTATAGATGTCAGAAGAAAAGAAAACAAAAACCCTCAAAGTGCACATAAAAATCATCCTCAAACTGAAATTTTACACCTAGACAAACTATCATTCAAAAGGCAATCAAATAAAGATGTACACAGTTTAAGTTGGCGTAGTGCCTAAGGCATTTGACTGCTAACCAGAAGGCTGGGAGTTCAAACCCACCAGCCACTCCTCCGAAGGAAGATTGGTCAATCTATTTCCATAGATATACCACCTTGGAAACTCACGGGGTGGGGGGAGGGGGGGATCGGTATGAGTTGTGTCAACTTGACGGCAGTGAGTTTGGTTTGGTTTTGGCAGTTTAAGAGGATTATTCACAGACTCTAACTAAGAGAGCTACCAAAGGATTCACAGCAGGGAGTCACCATGGATGTTAAATATTCTGAACATCATCTATAGATGAAGATGAACCACCATGACCACTCCTAAATACTCATTAAGCCTGCCAGCGCTATTACCATCTTTTGGTCAGTTTTGCTTTAAGGTAAAATACCTTTCTGCAGAGTCTCTGGCAAAACTAAACTGCTCAGCCTTTCACTGGGCTAGATGACAGGTAACATAGCAAACTTGTGAGACAATAAGCAAGAGAATACAGAAATTCATAAACTGTACAGGAAAAGCCAAGTAATCTTTAAAGGTAATTATATAAACTAGTTTTATTTTTACTAAAAAGATTTAATTATACAACAATAACTATTCAGTGACAGGCTAGTGTTCAATAGGTAGTGAAAACTCCCTTGTTGTAGCTGAAAGAAGGATAAAAATTCTGAATAACTGGAATTTGTTAGAACTATATAGTTAAGAATGTATCAGAGAAAATGAGTTATACATATGTAAACAAAAAATAATTAAATTTCTATTTCATAACATATATAAAGATCAGCCCTAAGTGAGATAAACTAAAGACCCAAAATTTGACAACTTTTACAAGAAAATATATGAAAATATCTTCATGATATCCAGGTAGGGAAGGGATTTCTTAAATATGTCACAAAAGCAAAGCTTACAAAGGGAATGATAAACTACAGTTTTTTTTTTTTTTTAAATCTTCCATGTAAAAAATACATTATAAATAAATAAAAAATATATATATCAGAGTCTGGGAGAAGACACTTCTAAGGCATATAAGTGACAAAATAATGATATTTAGAAAAAAAAAAAAAAAACCTCCTAGAAAGCAATAAGAAAACAATCCAATAGAAAATGTACAAAGGATATAAAAAGCCAATTCACAGAAGTAAAAAGCAAAATGGCCAGTAAACATGAAAAGATACTAAACCTCATTAGTAACCATGAAAATATATAATAACAATGGGATATCACTTCAAGTCTATCATGATAACTAGTAAAAATTTAGTAGTTATCTAAGTCTGACTATTTCAGGTATTAGGGATGCAGGAAAATGGAAACTCATAAATCGCCATTGGAAGTGTAAATTTGTCCAACTACTTTAGAAAACAATTGGCTATTATGTAGTATATTTGAAGTTGCATATAATCAGCACTCCCTCTCCTAGGTATATACCTTAGAGAAATTCTCATACATATGAACAGGAGACATTCAAACAAATGCTCTTTGTTTGCAGCTAAAAAAAAAAAAAAAAAAAAAAGAGCTGGAAGTAATCTAAATTACCATCAAACATAAATTACCATCAAACACAGGGATTTAATCATACGTGGAATACTATACAACAGTTAAAATGAATGAACAAGAGCTATGTCTAGCAACATGAATGGACTCTAAAATATAAAAATGAGTAGGGCAGAAGTGACAGAATGACATTTACAGCATGACTCCATTTATAGGAATTTGTAAAACAACATTGGTATATGTTTGAAAATATGAATATAGAGAGACATTAGATTCATGATCATGGTTACCTCTAGGGAGAAGGGAAAATAATGCAATTAGGGAGGAGTATAGATAATTGTTAACTATATCTGTAAATTTTCTTTTTTTAATTGGGAACATGTAGCATAGATAGTATTCTATTGATATGATAAAACTGAGGTGTCTGTGGTATGGACAGTCAATAACTGTTTATAACGCTACCCTTTTCTACGAGGAAGGAAACCTCATTTTATTGTGCTTTGCTTTATTGCATTTTGCTGATTTATTGCCTTTTTTTTTTTTAAAATAAATTGAAGGTTTGTGGCAACCCTGTGTCAAGCAAGTCTGTCAGCACCAATTTTCCCATAGCCTGTGCTCATTTCGTGTCTCTGTGTCACACTGGTAATTCTCATAATATTTCAAACTTTCTTATAATGCTATTGCACACTTAACAGACTAAAGTATAATATGAACATAACTTTTATATGCACAGGGAACCCAAAAATGTGTTTACTTGCTTCATTGCAATATTTGCTTTACTGCAGTGGTGTGGAACTGAGCAATATCTCCAAGGTATGCCTGTGTTTGAAATTATTCACAATAAACAAAATAAGATGTTAAAGAAGGTACTACATAGATTGTTAAGAGCTTTAAAATGCCCAGTCAATAATGACAGCATCAAACTGCAGTTCTGTGCTGCAGGTGGTCTGATGAGGAATGCAGACAAGTCAGTACCTTCTGCTTGCAGCCCCAGTGAGGTAGCAAGCCCACTGCTAGACATTGCAACTTCAGGTGAGGTGGGGGATGGGGATGAATGCAATGGTGAGGATGGTTAACAACAGTAAAGGGAAGTGCTTTTGACATAGGATAGAATTATCTAGATAATACATGGTTTAATGGTGTTTCCAAATCTTTCCAAGTCCTGGCACACATGGATATTTGTCTCTCACACTGGAGTACAGGCAACTAGCCTTGGGGTTCTGGCTGCCCCAGGTCCTCCCTGTGTCCCCGAAAGCTCATCATATGTGTTGCCCATTTGTAGTACACCAGTGTGCTGTGACACACTTCTTGGGAAGCTCTCTTTTATCATCTAAAAGGAGGGAAAATTATAAGCCACTCCCACTCTGGAAGCATTTGGCATTCTGCAATCATAAAATTGTTCAAAAGGTCTGCATTGAGAGTCACAACTACACTGTTTGAATTTGTACAGTAGTATTTAGGAGCAGAGAGATCTAGCACAAGAGACAGGGAGTTAACAGTTTTGAAAGTTCCCTTTTAAAATAACAGAAGACAGACCAAGAATCCTTTCCAATTCATACTGTAGCATAATATCAGGGAGTGATCAAATGAAAATGGTTGTGGAAATGAGCAATCTGGGTCAGGGTTTGTGTAGTAGAACAGGACACAATTACAAAGGAGAGCAACTAAACAGGACAGGACAACACCTTAGTGAGGAGGCACTGGTAAGTCATGTGAGGGAACCACTCCAGTTATGCCAGCCCATGATTTAGAATTTCTATATGTGAGTTAATTACACAATTCATTCTAAAAGTTAGATAAATTTTTTCTCCAAACTTTGTTCTCCAGAAATCCCAAGTGGAAACACTCTACCAGGTGGAAATACAGTAAGATGGATACACTTTATATTTGCAGTCACCATCTTACCCTTCAGTAACACAGAATAACCAGCTTTGGTGTAGGATAATCCCTACAGAGGGCAAATTCTCAATCTCTTTGTGAGTGAGCCAACTAGCCAACTCGATACAACATGGCAAGCTTTGTTGAAGGCAAGGTTGACATGGGACAGTCATAATGTTAAAATATTGAAATACTCCGCCAGTCCCACTGAGCTGCCCTATGATCACTCTGCCACACTAGCCTCTCTTCCAGGTTACTATCTTCCCCTCTGGCAACAAAGGTGTTAATGCCTAGCACAGCAGGGAGCCATCAGGGATGTAAAATATCTTGAACATCATCCACAGATGAAGATGAACCACCATGTCCACTCCCGAATGCTCATTAAGCTTGCCAGCACTATCACCATCTCTTGGCCAGTTTTGCTTCAAGGTAAAATATCTTTCTGCAGAGTCTCTGCCAAAACTAAACTGCTCAGCCTTTCACTAGGCTAGATGACAGGCCTAGAGGAAAGGAAAGACATTTTAAATCTCATGATCACAGCTTTGTGTTGGGGGGATTTTATCTTCTCTTGAAGGTGAGAAGCAAGAGTCATCCTGACCCTCTGCACACCAGACCAGAACCTGGCCACCTTCTCAGATGGGCCTTCCTCATGAGCCATATTGCCTTCATTCCATGCCTCTACCAGGCAGTTTGCCCATTCTCTCTTAACTTAAAACTTATTTCTCAGAAGACCAGAACACTTCCTTGACACTTGCTTGGGAAACGTGGCAATAGAATTTGCAGCGACATCCAGGGAATCAGCCCTGTCATTTGCAGAGTCAAGAGCAGGTAGCAGAGGGCTGGGAGGAACAAAAGAAACTTCCCATAGGGCAGAAGAATTGGGGGAAAATGGAAGCTCAGGGCACAAGAATTCTGCTATTCATTCAGGGAGTCAAAGGATGAGGACAGGAATTGCATTTGGATAGGCATCCAGGCAGTGCTCCGAGAAATAAGGGAAAAGCCAAAGCAGAACACCTGCATCTACTCACCAGGGCTGGTTATCGTCAGGAGGTCAAGTTGACGCTGTTGCTGCAAAAGAAAACACATTGTGAGAGCACTGATTCGAGCCAGAGCCAAACTTATGCTTAACACATGAGGTTGGACATGCACAGTGGCTGTTCAGACTCACAAAGCAGGGTCAACTATAGAGAAGGTGGTGTTTATGCACATTTCTAGAGAGGCCTTCCACCCTAGAGGCAAAGGGGAATGGGTGGCCTTTATGCTTGGTCTTGGATGCACAGATGGTCATAGCCAAGAGCCCCTTAAAGGTCTTCCAGTTATACCTCTATTATGCTAAGGAAACGTGAAGCCCAGAAAGGAAGGTAGCTTATTTAGGGCCACAAAGAAATTCCCATTCCTAACTCCCAGTCTTAACCAGACAGACTTAGATACTTCTTTGCTCACACTGGCTGTACTGGCTGAGTATTTGATAATACTGGCAGCACTCTTTACCTTGAGTCCCTGGGCCATTGTCACATTCTGATACTCCTTCTGACCAAAATATGCCTGAGCTGGTTTAGTTGTACTTTCTCAGCAATGTTATGACAACTTTAATTACTGATGACCAACCAAATCCCTATCCCATTTTACCACACAGAATTCACAGAAAATAATATGTCTATCACACTAGGGTATGTATGAATCAGACTTCTTATGTTTGGAGGCAATTGGCCTTGGCTTCTCCAAGGGCTGAGGTAATCAATATCTCAGCAGGCCTGTTCCTTCTCATAGCACACCCACTGAGAGGCTCTGTCCTGGACTGAATATCATGGGAATCGGAGTGTGAAGTAGGTATAGGAGGCTGGAGGTGGAGCACCAATAAGACACCAGTCAGGATTCCTTAAATCTCAGTTTTCCTGCTGACCTTTTTCTCTTTCCTACACTTGCTTTTTCATTAGGAGCACTGGATGTCTGTATTAAAAAGGGACAAAACAAACTCCTCTCCCAGCCACCTTCTTGCATTGCAAGAACTTCTGATTACTGGGTGCTTCATCCAGTGGATCCCTTGCCACATTTTACCTCATCTGCATTTTCCTCCTTATTTTGTCTCTCTCCAAGAATGGCTTCCTGAAATTCTGCTTAAGCAGAAAGGGGAAGGGAACAGAACTTTTTGAGTAGAAACTGTAGGAGAGGTATAATACTAGGAACTTTGATGTATCATTTCATTTCATATTCTTAGCAATCCTACAGGCTGGGTATTGTACAGTGGAGAAACATGAGGTTCAGAGAAGAGAAATTATCTGCCCAAGACCACATCTTCATTGAATGGCAGAGCTAGGATTAGAATTTACTCAGTTCCAATGCTGGCTCTACTGCCCAAAATATGACAGGACACACAAATTACCTAACATGATGCCTCTTACTTAATAGGCACTCAATATTAAGAATGATTTAGTATTAGGGAGCTCTGATAGCATAGTGCCTAAGACATTTGGCTGCTAACCAGAAGGCTGGCAGTTCAAACCCACCAGCCACTCCTCCGAAGGAAGGTTGGGCAATCTACTTCCATAGAGATACCACCTCAGCAACCCAAAGAGGGGTTGCTATGAGTTGGGATTGACTCAATGGCAGGGAGTATTTAGTACTGATGTTATTATTATTGTTATTATTTTGTCTTTTATTATTATTGTATATTAATAGCATGTGGTTCTTGGTTCCTTGGTTATGTGTCTCTTCCCTTTTCTCATAGCTATGTATATTTGGAGTTCACAGGTCATTGAGTCTGATATCACACCAGAACAACAATCTTCTCTGCAAAGTTCTAACCAGCTGTATGAACCACTTGTGTTTCATTCCTTTTCTTGACTGGGAAGTCATTACTTCTTACTGGCTGGATAGCTCTACTTTGAACAGAGTTGAGAGCTGCTGCCATATGACATCACCATAGCTCAATGACATTAGTTTGGAGATGTGAGGAAGTTCCGTGTCTTCTCTCCAGGCTGAATAGTCCCAGTTCCTTCACTCCTCGTAGGACCTAGTCTCAAATCTCTTCATCCTTCTGGTCACCCTCTTCTTCCATTTAACTTTTGTTTGTTCCAGTTGAAACATCTTGAGGTCTCTCTACCCCTTGTTTCAGTAACTTCTCATGGACCTACAAGCAAGACTGTATCCTTTCTTGACCCTCTCAATCACATATTCCTGTTTTCTTGCCAGCTTATAACTTGTTCCAGTTGACATTTTCAAGTAAACAAAGCAAAGATGCCACTGACCTACATTATGAGCACACTTCCTCATGCTCAAAAGAAACACACATCCACACATGTGGGCTAGAAGGAATGCTGGAGCCAGGCAACTTTCCACTGAACCAGGCCAATAGTACAATTGGCTTAAGCTGCCTTTACCAAGGCCAACCTGCATGGCTTGGTCCTTTCTTTATGTATGAAGGAAGAATCTAATGTGTCCTTCTTTTTCTCCACAGGCTTAAGTTTTTGATAATCTCAGTTGATGATGGAGGTATATTTACTTGAAAAGTGTCTCCTCTCTAATGAAGTGCTTTCTCAAAATGATGTCTTTGTGCCCAGAGTCCACTAGAAAACAAAGACTCTGACAAGAGTCAAGCAGGCTCAGGCTTGTGTCCTGGCTCCTCTGTGTGGCTTTGGGTAACTTACTGTATGTCTTTGCCTTCAAAATTCATATTTTTTAAATGAGTGAATGAGAGTGAAATACCGTTAGTGACCCTTTGAGTCAAATGCAACCAAGAGCTGTGTTTGTGGATTCCCTGAGAGCCCATTAGCCAATACACTAGAGGCTCAAAGGATAGAGTCAGAATTTAAAAGGGATCATTCTAAGCTATCATCTCACATTGCAATTATCTATGCTTGTGTGTATCTTCCTTATTATACACCCACTGCCATCAACCCACGGGCTCTGGTGGCGTAGTGCCTAAGGCATTTGACTGCTAATCAGAAGGCTGGTAGTTCACACCCACCAGCCACTCCTTGGAAGGAAGACTGGGCAATCTACTTTTGTAGAGATACCATGTAAGAAACCCAAGGAGGGTCACTAGGAGTCGAAATTGACTCGACAGCAGTGAGCTTTGTCTCTCTCTTTTTTTTTGCCATCAACTCAGTTCTGATTCATAGCAATCCCATTGGGTTTCTAAGGCTGTAAATCTGTATGGAAGTAGATCATCTCGTCTTCCTCTCACAGGCCTTTGAACTGCTGACCTTCTGGTTAGCAGCCAAATGCTTTACCCACTAAGCCACCAGATCCCCACTATCTAGAAGTTTATTATTTATATTAGTTACATTAGTTCATGGCATAGAGTAATGCTCCATAAGCATTTGCTAAATTCAAAGGTATGTGGCAGGATGGTATCCTTTCACATTACTTATTCAATCTCTATGCTGAGCAAATAATCCTTGAAGCTAGTCTATATGAAGAAGAATGTGGTATTACAATTGGAGGAAGATTCATTAACAATCTGCAATATGTAGATGACACACTCCTACTTGCCAAAAACGGAGACAACTTGAAGCACTTACTGGTTGAAGGTAAAAGACGACAGTGTTCAAGATAGATTACACCTCAACATAATGTAATGAAAATCCTCACAACTAGACCAATAAACAACATCATGATAAATGGCAAAGAAGCTGAAGTTGTCAAGGATTTCATTCTACTTGGATCACAATCAATGCCTCCTGAAGCAGCAGTCAAGAAATTAAACGACACATTGTACTAGGAAAATCTGGTGCAAAGGCCTGTTTAAAGATTTAAAAAGCAAAGATGTCACTTTGATGACTAAGGTGAGCCTGATGCAAGCCAGGGTATTTTCAGTCACCTTATATGAATGTAAAAGCTGGACAATGGAAAAGGAAATGGAAGAAAAATTGATGCATTTGAATTGTGGTGTTGGTGAGGAATATGGACCTATGCTGTGGATTGCCCAAAGAACAAGCAGATCAGTCTTGCAGGGAGTTCAGCCAGAATACTCCTTAGAAGTGAGAACGGAGAGACTTTGTCTTGCCTATTTGGTCATATCATCAGGAAAGATAATTTCTAGAAAAGGATGCTGTGTTTGGTAGAGGAAAGTGTCAGTGAAAATGAGGGAAAGCTTCACTGACATGGACTGACACAAGAGCCACCACAATGGACTTAAACATACCAATGGTCATGAGGATGGCACTGGGCCAGGCAGTGTTTCATCTTCTCATACCCTGTCGCCAAGTGCGGATAGCAGCCAAGTGCACAGCAACAAATAACAACAAGCTCAACTGAACCATTTTTGAATACTGTTCTGGAATACATTATACTTTCATACCTCTATGCCTTTGCACTGGTTGTCATCTCTGCCTGATTTCTTGTAATGCTCTTGGAAATCCCCGTCTCTTCTCAAGACCTCTGTGGTATCTTCTCTACATGCTCACTTTCAACCTCAAGCCCTCTTTCCCGTCCTCAAAGCAGAATGAGTATTTCACACTTTGTTCTTCCAATCCATTTGTAAAACTTGTCTTTTGCATTACACTATCCTATCTATTTCCTTGTTTATCTGTCTCATTAAATCATTACTTGATAGAATGATGGCATTTCATCTCAATCCTTCCAGTGCCCAGCACAAAGGCCTGGAAGGAATGTTTTATGTCATCTAGTTTAAATGATTCATCCATTCCTTTATTTCTTCTGCAAAGACCTATTAAAAAGGATTTCATCATCATGGAAAATAAGCATGCCTCTTCCTTTCCAGGACTTTTCCTCTGCCATGTCTTTGTGGTTTCTTGTCTTTATATTGTTGCTTCTACCATCTCAGCAGCCACCTCCTTTAGGTTTTCCTTTGTTTACTCCAGCCCAGAGGGTCTACTGTCTGAACTATCCCTGTAGTAATGAGCTCAGCCTAGCTTGGTGAGAAGCCCATTTAACCTATAGTTCATGTGTGCACCACCTAGTGGCATAAGCAGATAAGTGACGGCTTTTGTTTCAACCAATACATCACGAGATAGGATTGCAAAATCTGTGTGTGCTATATGCAAACAAAAAAACACAAGTATAAGTTCTAGAATCATTCTATAACAATTTTTAGCCAAGAAACT